CATAAATAAACAAAAAAACCCTAGTAACAGCAGAAGTAGCTCACCTTTTTCAGCCTCTAGGAGTAGGAAATTAAATAAGGATTAGGATTTAAATAAGGACTCGGCGATTAGCTGATTGTGCGTGGGTCCTAGAACGAATAATAGCAATCTGTATTGTCTCGACACTCGTCTAACGTGACACCGATCGAGGGGCGGGAACGCGAACTACGGCAACAACGGGGCTGTCATTATGCCCTGGACGTCGAGGTTGGGGGAGTGATAGGGTCCCTTATACAACCCATGGGGGCCGCTCAGTATTAATAAGGTAAGAACTCAATAACTTTTTTATCGTGAACGGTGCCTTTAAGGTACCCCACCTTACTTGCCAACTTCCTAATTGTGATTGCAAAGGAGACGAGCTCTGATTTCGTAACTTTATCATCATCAGAACGCTGGCTTACAACTGGTAACAAGTGACAAATTTTATATGCTGCAACTACTCCTATTCCTTTCAACATCTCCTTTCCTTTCGTCAGCATGATTTTTAGTGTTCTTGATTGAACAAGTATAAAAATTTAAAAATCCGCCAATGCAATAGATTCTATATTGTAACCTCTTTTCTTATTTTTTGCTTTCTTCCCAGAAATTTACGATTTTTACATTATTATGGATTTTTTCAGCGACATAGACACTAAGGCGGAGCGGGAACTGGCAGACAGATTGATGGCAACATTACAAACATAACAAACATTGGGTCGTACATGGTGATCACCTATTTGTTCAATGTTAAAATAAATAAATAAACATATATATGGCATATATTGTTTTCTGCTATGCCTGCCTAAGAGATTTACCACTTTTGCTTGCTAAGCGTGTGATGCTGTTATCGTTGTGGATATTTTGTGTATTGATGCTATCAACTATGTTTTGAGTTGATGTTTCGTTAATTGCTGTTAATTCACCTCAGTACGCGTTTCAAAGTCTGTAAAGGTTCGCGGGTTACAAAACAAGGTCCGCTTTAGACGGGACTCGAACCCGTACTTGTGCTATACGGGAGCCGCTCAAGCACAAGTACGGGTTTGAGTCTCGTACTATATCGAAGTTTTGTCCATAACTCCCCAACTTTTTGAACTGTGAGTACATATAATAAGTGGCACGATCAAATTTAAAGTAATAATAATTATCATGATCGAGGGTAAAAGATACAGCTTAGTTGCACACCGCTCAACTGGGGCCTGAGATTAATCATCTGTTCATAAAAAAAGGTAGCGTCAACCAATCATTCCGACCTTATAACAGGAAGGACAGGAGCGCGGCGTAAGCCGTGAGAACCGAGTGGTCGTAATGACTTTCGACATAAAGGCTAATTCTTTTTGCTTGCTTGATAGCCTCGAATTTTCGAGATTTAAGGAAAATACATTCGATGTTGCAGGAAAGCTAAGAAGAAATAGCAAGTTGTGAGTGCTTAGCAAGTGTTTATTGGATATTGCCGCCCTATTGTTCTCAAGCTAGGTCCCGACAACCTGCTGCTCAACTAGTGATAGTCTACAAACGCCCTCCCTTCAGTTATGTGAATATTGCTACTTTGCAATCAAATAGTGTTGGATAGTGTGAAATATGCTTTGGCTTAACATATTCCTAGATACAGTGGCGCGCAGTGAAAACACCTAACCGTTCAATTGAACGATTAAAGCAATCATCACAGGAAAATGCCTGGCGCTTGCGGGCTGTTGCATTCGATGCGCCTGAGCATACAGTGCGGTATCATCAGTGCGACATACGAAATGTCGTCATTTCAGCTGGCAGCCAGCTTTGAATCATATTCTTTGTTACTAGTCCTTCCCTCTCAAAATGCTTTGGTAGAAAACCACTGGAAGAGAATTTCGACAGGACGCAAAGCAGAAGCATTCGTTGTAACTAGAATCATACTGGAAGTGGTATTGCTCTGTATGCCGATGCCAGTATATTTATTATATGTACGATATCAAAAATGTTGTGAAATTCAAGGAAAATGCCCGAATCATCCTCCGTCATCATTGTTGTTTTACTTGTGCTGATCTCGTTGCTACTTCTCGATATATTCGACATTGACCCCACTAGCGCAGTTCGTATAAAGGCTAGCCAACATCTGAGTCAAGACTGTGAATGCGAGGCCGGTACGTTCTCTTATTNTCTATGGCAATCTCATAAGTTCTCCCTTACGTTTCTTTGAATGCTTCTGAGATGGTCGCCCTCTTTCTTCAAAATCGTAGAGTTCCTTTGCTGACAAGTATGTTTGATGGTGTTGTTGTGCTTGAACGATTGATCTTACCACATACTAACTCTCAAGTATGAGTAATCGCACCCTACAAGAAACCGTATTGTGAAAACAAATATTTACGTTAATTTTAAGAGGTTTTAATAAAACCTGCTGCCAAGATGGTAAATAAGTTCTTATCAACTTACAACATACAACTCTAATCTGATACATCAACATACAACTCTTGGCCGTTCTTCTGCCCCACAGCGTCTCTTAGACTATCCTTGGGGATCACAGATTTATCTGAAGAAGAAATCTGAAGAGCAGTTTTCAGCGTAAACTGTGGCTTTCAAATATTTACAATTTCTTGTTTTCATCTGTAATGGTTCACCATTATGAGACTGTCAAACGCAAACTCCGAGTTCGGACATTCAATCCAACAGACAGACAGAAAGACAAGCAGACAGACAAGCAAACATACAGACAGCAGAACATAGAAGGACAATCAGACAGACGGACACATAAGTACATAGAGAGACAGGCAGGCAGGCAGACAAACAGACATACAACACGGACAGATTGGAAGTTAGATGGAGAAGCAGACAGACAGACAGAATTTTAGAAAGGTAACAGACAGGCATGAAAAAAGGAAAGACCTTCGGAAAAGCATAAAGAACTGGAACAGGAGGTTAGACATAATGAGGATAATCGAATGTAGCATAATCCAATTCTCAGGTTGAAAAAGTACAGTCACACAGAAAACGGCAATGAGTGCAGCCAGACATAGATTTCACGAAACTAAATGTTTCTTCCAAAACCTCCCCTCAATATAACTGATGAGAAGTTTTAAGAAACAATTTACTAATCTATATTCCAGCTTCAACTCCTGTTAAACCGTCGGAAAATTCCATGACCACGAAAGTCCGCGGGATACCCAGGCTAAAATGGTACAATGAACTAATGAAAAGCGGGTTGGGCAAGAAGGTGAGTTAACCAGTTAAGTTAGTGGTTCCTAACCGCGTTGCTCGAGGGCCACTTCACGATGATTGGTGGGTATATAATTTTAGAAGAGTGATGGAAGTATTACATAGTCCGGAATAGGTAAGGGTTAGACGAGAATCTGACGACAGAAGTTACATGGAAAGGGTTCTGGACGACCTTTTCGAATGTCCGCGCCATCGCATTCGGTAAACTGTGTAAGCTGCCTGCGCCTGGTATAGGTCCTGGTGCGAACAGTGCAACATCTACTGTTTCCACAACGTTTGAGAACTCGTCCGCTTTGAGGTGTATGTCGGCCAAGATAGGGCTCTAATACGCCCATCTCAACTGTTCTTCTGCCCGGCCGCCTCTTAGGCTATCCTTGGGGATCACAATTTCATCCAAGGAGAAAATCTCAGGAGCTGTTTCAAGCGTGAACTGTGCCTTTAGTGCACCCTACTTATCATTTAGCATTTATGATCCGCATTTGCAATTTTCAGGGTGGTCCGAAGATGAATATTTCTCTGGTTGCTGCATATGAATATCACGATCAGATCAACATTATGATAACCTCTAGAAGCAAATATGGGTGAGACTTTTGTGATAAGTCTTCTGTGATAACAAGAACTTCTATGCTTCCCACGGGAGCAGATTACGACTACGGGTATGATACCTTCTGACAAAAAATCGCGTCGCGCTCTTCGTAACAACTCGCGAAAGAAGCTGCAAGTTGAAAAAAGAGGTTTGATATCAATGGAATGATAATATGCATGAGACCATAAGTTTCCTCAAGAACAGGGAAAAGTTTTGCATGCTATTTTACCACCTTCAGCCGCCTTTCTGATGCCAGAAGGGATCCGGTTCCAACCTAAACCGTACAATAACACCAGTAACTTTAAACTTTCATTTCGTCTTTTTCATTTAGATGAATTCTCCTTTGCATGCCGCTGGTTTCTTTGCTTGAATTTGAGATGATTTGAAGACGTCGGGAGATTCTGTCTTCCACTCGATTTAGGGCATGGTTCGAGCACACTGTGATTGAAGAGTGAATGAGAAGCGCAGAGGAACTGTGACAACCTCACAAAATGCAAAACCTATGTCCCTCACACAACTCAGTCCATGGTCTTATGCATTTGAAGCTTTACTCTCATGTCTGTTTTAAATCATCGCTTTGAGTGCTATTGCTTCCATGTCATAAATGGTTGTTTGCGTTAAGCACTCAAGTGGAACCACTCTCTATCTCCTTCCAGAGAGCTTTGCGAAATTCGGAAAGCAGACTCGAAATCAGCACCCGAAAGTATACATAGCAATTCAAAACTAATATGTCCCATATGTTCCATAAGTCCATACGTTCCCTTGTTAGATGAATTAGGAAATTATATCACAAGACCAGCAGGATTTGTGGTGTATGGCATAGCGTTGACGAATCTTTCCGAAAGCGCCACTATCTAGAGTATCATTCACTAGTATATTTGGATGCGTATGATGTTTGAGAAATTTGTTTATTCAGCGTATTTCTTTATTATCATATCTTTGAGTGTACTAGACGAGAACAAGGGTGAGCACATTCTTTGAGTGGTTCTAAAACCGTATCACTACTTGCTACTACGTAGGTTGCCTTTTATATTTTGAGATTTGAGAACAGAAACAAATACTATTTATTGGAAATCGTTTTGCTGCCTTTCAAAATTCTCCACATTAAGATCTATACACTTTTGCATGAGCTCGAACCATTTTTGAAGCACTTTTGCCACTCTGATGTAGGTAACCCTAAAACATGGATTCTGGACGCATTAACGGCTTCTTCAGAATCGAAAAACGTTGACCTCTCATTTTACTTTTTACGTACGGGATGAGAAGAAGTCACCCGGGGACTACATGGCTGATGACCTGTCAAACCGTTGTTTTGAGTGCTCAAAAATGCAGTTGTTTGAGCCGATGGTTGGGAGCTC